TGCCACACAGCTTGACGCAAAGCCCACCTTTTTCAGGAGGCGAAGCGCTGGATTTGTGATTTCTTCCTCAGCAGCACCTGCCTTCCCTGTCCAGCTCTCCTGGAAAAAAAATCAGACAAACCCCTCTGTTCCCCGTCCCCCCTCTCCTGTAATTGCCAGGTGCTGCAGGAGCCTCTTGACAGATGAGCTCTGATCCCCGTCTCGTTGTAAAAGAGCACGAAATTCAGCTCGAAATCGGGCAGGCGGGCAGCCTGGCTAAATGGGGGCATTGCTACCGCTTGCCAAAACAACCCGTAGGCTGTATCTGCAAAGGTGTTTGAAATGGAAGTGTGCCCAAAGCTTAACTCTGTGGAAATGTTTCCAGCTCTGTTAATACGGGGATGCAAAAATAACCAGGGGTGGGTTCCCCCACCCACCGTCTCCAGAACTCGTGGGGGGAATTCGTGGCTCTCGAAACGCGTGTGTGCGCAGGGGGACGTGCCCGCCCCGCCGTGTGTCATGAGGAAGGAATGTCCTCTGATTGCTGTCTCAAAGTCCATTTCTTTTCCCTTGCTATATAGCTTTTATGGAGAACTCTCCATTTTTTTCCAAGTGTTTTTCTAAACAGGGTAGGCTTCAGCTTGTCATACCCCGAAACTAGTAAGTGCCCGTGGATTTCGCTGGGTCCCGGTGGAACCCCGCTGGTCCATGAGGCGGGAGAGAGCTGGGGCTCGGTGAAGTGAAGTGCTGGCACCTCCCGCCCTGGCCTGAGGCACAGAGCTCTTTCCTTGCTACGCTACGTGGGGAAAAAAAAAAAAAAAATTAAAAAAATGCATTTTTCAAATTGCATCTTAGATTGTGGCACCCCGTCCGATGAATTAATCTTTTCTGTAAACAGGCGGTTTCACTGACAACAATAAAAATTCTTTGGTTATGGGTGACTCATGCACAAATAGCTCACCATTACCAAGGTGGTTTGAACCAGTAAGTAGGAATATTACGCGGCTTAATATCAAAATATTTAGCATTCTTTATTTGGGACTTTTAGTTTAGTAGCCAGAGGAGGAGAAAAACGCTGCTGTACATTGGGAATTTGGGCTCTCCTAGACAGGAGCAACAAGGTAAAAGTTGGATGTGGCTTTTTCTGGATGATGTATGTAGTTAAAATACGTGCTCAGCTTTCCTCAGCCAGACAGAGAGTCTCCTCAGCCTCGGTTTGTCCGTGGTACAGACTTCACCAGTGTGGTCTCCAACAGGTGGGCAGGGAATGAGACGGGGGCAGCGCTGCCCCCCGAGCTTCAGTTCCTCTCACAAGTTCCTCCAAGGCGTGTGTGAATCCTTCTGTGCTGCACAACAAGGCTGGGCAAACTCTAAACTCAAGATATTTCTTGCAGCGTGGAAAGATCTACGGCTGCAGCTGATGATCACGTTGCTGAATTCACTTGGCCTTGGCTGAACAAAGGGATCATTGAGTCAGAGGAGAATGACCCAGTTACAGCCTTGAGTTATTTTTGTGAGGTTTTTTTTAAATTAAAAGAAAAAACTCAAACCTTTTTAACTTAAGGTGAACAAGGTATTTGAACTGATCTTGTGGTTCTGATCCTTCCCACCCAGGCAGGCACCGACTGATGCTGCTTTGCAGAAACCTTTAGCAAAGCTTCAATAAAGGGGAAGGGTGAGGAGGCTGCCTTTCACATTTGCGCTTCTCGTCAGTAACGACTGATTTCCATCTGCTCAGTAATTTTTTCTGGCTATTCTGCGTCTTGCGCTCCGTAAAAACAAAGCTGCTAAGAACGCGCCATGCGTCTGCGACAGCCTGATGGAGCGTAAGAGCAAGCAGGGCAGCACTTGAAACGGGAAACTCAATTCCAGTATCAGGTGTTGAAGAATAATTTAATTTTCGATGGTTTAGCTCTCCGAAGGCGGGAGCTGAAATGGTTTCAGAGGTCGGTTTGAAGCGGTATTCACACCCTCCTTGGACTGAAGGAGTCTTTCAACGGCTGAGGTTACCGGTCCTATTTAGAAAACATGAGGGGAAACACCTATAAAATCAGCAAACATACAGGCTGCTCTTTCCAGATCTACAGTTTTATCCTACCAAAATGCAGGAAAGGGCGTGTTTTCAGCCGTCCTCTTGCAGGCTTGGCCTCTTCCAATACCAGACCTGAGGTGACACTGGCACGAGCGAGGTCCTGCTGTGAACTCACGTCAACGTTCTGTCACAGGCACACTGCGATCTTGTTCTGTCACGGGATGGCCGCTGTTTGTGATGTAACTTTTGGAGCTACAAGTTAGGGAACTCAGTGGTTTTTCTTCTTCACATTGGATGAATGAAGCTACTTTAAATTCTGTTCTGTACAGGAGTTTTTAAAGCTTTCTGTGCTGATTTCTTTTTTTCCGACCTTAGTAACATACTACTCAATACTGGGTGCAGAATCCTTCACGCTTACTTGCTTGGTGATCTAAAACCCAACCTGAAATGATGACATAAAAAGCACTTAAAATCTATATTTATGCAAAACTTGCATAACAGCAATAGTGTACAGGTAACAATGCATTGTTGTGTTTATATCTTATTTTATCCTATTCATATCGAGCAGCATATACCTTAAGGCAAGTTGCTCGACTTCAGCAGGGTGAGATTTTCCCCACTAGGAAAATGTGAAGGCGCCTTTTCAGTGACCCTGATTTCAGTCTTTCATGGCTAGTTGCCTCATTGTCACTATCAAATTTTTGGTAAATATTTTATGAACTCACTCTTCTTTGTTTTCTTTTAAAAAAAATCTTTTGTAGCCACATCAAGATGACGACAGCAACGCCGGTGATCAGTAACACTCTGTTCCCAGTAAACGTGACCGCAAAGTCTCAAGAACAAAGTCTCTATCAAAGTAAGAAAAGGAATGAGGTGGTGGCTTTGGTGCTTGTTGGTTTGTTTTGGTTTCGTTTGGTTTGTTTTGGTTTCGTTTGGTTTGGTTTTAAGTGGACTTCAACTTAGCAAACTTGAAAAGTACAGTAACAACTTTGTAAATAAGACTATTTTCCCCTTTCTGCTTCCCTGCTAGGCTCTGGAGCAATAGTTGCTGCCATCGTAGTAGGAGTGATTATTATTTTTACAGCGGTTCTGCTCATACTGAAAACATATAACAGGTACGTGACCAAGTTCTGTACTTCACAAAGGCGAAGGAAGAGGAACCAAATCACTGTGAGGTGTCCTCTCATCTAACAGATCCATTTCAGTACTTGTTGCTGAAAATTCCCAGAATTCAAATAGTAATAAAACTTGATTACAGCGTCCTGAAACTCACCCTCAGTGTCCCGCGATTGAATCGCTAGGAATCAGAAAGAGGTTCTTGATGGAGGATGCTTGATGGAAGCTCTTTTGAGGGGTCCCTGCTGACACAGAAAGGTTTGCTGCCTGCACCAAGGCTGCCAGAGAGGAGCTCGAGTCCTCACTCTGCAGGGCATTGGGTCAGATTTGTACGCTCCAGCAGCACTGACATCCCGTTTAGTATCTTTGGGATGAAACTGAACGAGTGGTGAGGCACTGGAACAGGCTGCCCAGGGAGGTGGTGGAGTCCCCAACCCTGGAGGTGTTTAAAAAAAAAGTAGATCTGGCACTTGAGGCTGTGGTGTAGTGGTTGGATGTGCTGGGATGAAGGTTGGACTAGATGATCTTCAGAGGTCCCTTCCAACCCCTGACATTCTGTGATTCTGTGAAACCCCAGCTTGTGCTGACTTCTCAGTAACTCTTCAACGTGACCCAGACATCCCCAGGGCTCACCCTGGACACACCACGAGTGCCCGCTCCGGTGACAATTTCATTTTTACCTTTACAGACGCATGAGAGTGAAGCGGGAGCTGGAACCCAAACCCACCAAACCGGCGCTGCCGCCCGCTTTGGGGCCGAACAGCAGCAGCCTGTGTCAGCCCCCGACAGTGACTTTCATCCCCGTGGATATCCACATGCAGCCCAGGTAACTGGGAACGCCCGTCCTCCCCGTGAGAGAAGAGAGCTGGAATTCTTCCTTACGCAGACCTGGGACTCCCGAGCAAAGCGACGCTGCTTTTGGAACAGCAACGAGCTGTTATTTCACCTGTGGGTCGTATTTAATCCTGGTTTCTCTCTTTGGGAGGAAGAATAAAATATCTGGACTTTTTTTTGCGATGCTGAAATCAACTGATGGAGGCAGGCAAACCATTAGGGATGCCGTGAGCCTTCTTACAGAGCTCTGGGTGTGGAAAGACGGAATAAAGCAAGGCATTCTTTGGAAGAAAAGCTGCACACTCCTATTTTGTGAAGCTTTGGCATACTCGGCGCGTTTGAGCTTTTTCTGGCCTGCAGTGACTGCTGATAAACTGGGAGAAAAATCTGGGCACGCAAGCTACAACTCGGGTGGAACCCGGGGTTGTTATGATTTCTGTGAAGCGGGTTTGTAGCCTATTTTATAGCGTGATCGGTAGTACAGGAGTATCAAAACTGTCTTTTACTCACTTTTTGTGTTTCTAATGCCACGTATGTGTGGTTTGGGATAAAAGAATTACTTTTTATTTTCAACTGGTTTTAAAATATTTCTATAAACTCGGTAACCTGTCCATTTCCAAAGGAATTCAGTGCCCAAGGGTTTTCACTCTCACGCCAAGAACTGCTTTAGGTCCGTGACTGGAGTTGTTAAAATGCGTCGTCCTGCACAAAATCTGCAAAGTTCTTGAACTGCAAAAGCAAGCGCGGAAAGGCAGCGTAAAGCAAGCGAGGCGTTACGTGGCGGCTACGTACAACTTGCACCCTGGAATGCTTTGTTCTAACGCAGACTAGGCTTGAACTATTTTTAGGTATCTATTTTTTTCTAGAAAGCAACCAAAAATGATGTCGGTTTGCAAAGGCGACGGCCGTGGGCGTCCAGTAACGCAACAAAGAAATTCCCTGGAATATTCACAGCCCACTGAGCGCTGGGACACAGCGGCATTGTCGGGCGCTGAGTGCTCAATTGTCCCGAGCGCACATATTCCCAAAGAATAAAGGCGCAAGGGACTGGGGTGACAGGTTGATGTATTTTTCTTTTTTCTAGATGTGAAGCCGTCTCTTGAACGGGTCATTTTGACTAACTGCTATTTTTGTGAAGAAACCAGATTCAATTAAAATTTTTTTTTGGTATGAAACTGGAGCACAGTTTGAACTCCAAACTAAATATTAAGACAGCTGTTCGTGAAGTTTCTAAATCTCGTCGTAAATATTTTACTTGTCTGTTCTCTAACTTATTTTCTGTGGCAGCAATGGTTGATGTAATCATTCAGAAGCGACTGCAGGTGCCAATTTATTTCTAAAAAGATAACAAGAGCTGCCCTCCCCGTTTCTGTCTCTGGACAGCTACGGATGTTTTCTGAGCATGATCCACTGTATCAAAATTGAGATATTTAGAAGAAGATAAGCCCCAATCTGACTTATTTTTTAACTCTACCAGTCAGACCTACTTCTAGCAAACTTTCCATTTTCAGATTTAAAAACAACGAAGGGCTCTTCGCAGAAGCAGCATAAGCAGTACCCGTATAAGCAATTCTAGATCGGCACAATTCCCGTTATTGGCTTTGACCACGCCAGGACCGCTCGGTCTGAAACATTCAATGTGTACTTTTTCACCAGGAAAATTTGCTTTGTATTGGTGCAGCCTGGGAGGCCCCTGCGACCCGTTCTGACTCGTCAGCGAAACCCAGGGTTTATGCTGACCAAGGAAAAATCACCTTCTTCAACAAAAATGACTGTTATTTCCACTGCACCACTGCTGAAACGCTTGTGTAATTAATGCTCGTGTAACTGGCTTCAGCAGGTTGGATCCTTCAGTCTCCCAGCTGGCGCTGTACAGATGCAAGTACACGAACAAAATGTTTTAATTTTCACTTCTAGGTGGGTCCCGTTTCCCAGAACTCTAGCAGGGCAGCTTTCACCCGTTCTGGAGCTGTCAGCCACCTTGTTTCAGCAGAGCACGTAGCTCCACCTAGTGTCCTCCTCCCATCTAACGGGTTCAACCATAAAGTAATTCCAAGTTTATAGTTACCAACTTTACATTTCAGGAACTACCGTCACCCCCAGCCCAGTCCCGCTTCCCCTCACTCCACGGTGCCAGTGCTGCTAAGGAGCCGAATTCAGCATTACCCCACGTCTGCCTCTGCAAAACGCAGCGGTGTGATCACTGCCAGGTCCGAGAGGATAAAATACAAGGCTGTTCTTTCGGTCTTGTTCCCGGGTGCCATAACCGATTTCCCCAAAAGACAGGTGTGGAGCCGTGGGTCTCACCCATGACACCGGACTGCAGATCAGGTGGGAAGCAGCCCTTGTGTTTTAAGCATAATCTAGATGTATTTGCAGGAACACGGTACTTCCTTTTCAAAGATAAAGGACATGAGTTTCTTTTAG